CCGGCAGCTTTGAAGATGAAGGATGCCGGTTTATAAGAGTGCACGGTGAGCTGCTTAAACATTAACCAGAACCTCAGTTTGAAAGGTTACAAACAAACAAAATGGCTAGGAAACATCCGAACTAAGGCCTGTAGGATATCTCTGTTGTCCAGCTGACAACCGACTGGCCGGGACTTCTTTTGCATACATAAAAACATGTGTCTGACTGTATACAACACAACTAAACAATGAAATCAAAAAGGGCAACAAATATCGCAAAGAAAACATGCACCACATGGGTGTAACGTTTGATCACTCTCTGGAAAGGGTTTCACAGAATCAGCCGAAAGCGAGAATACGACCCTCAGTCTAATGTGCTTGGATAGAAATGGCAAACTCTGATTAACTGTTTTGCACATAAAGAGAGCATCTGACAATAAGCCCTGTAGCCTTAATGACAAGTTTTGATACCTTAGAATACATCAATAAAGATGTGGTTTGACAGCTATTAAGAATAATTTCCGGGTTTTTCCAAAGGTAGCTGCAGAAACCCAGTCATGCTGTTCTACAAGCAGGTCTGAAATATGACAGAATCCGCTGTTCAGAAAAGGGCTTCAAGGGTTACTCCTAGTAGGCTGTCAAGATTGCAAAGAGTTAAAGAACAGCATGTCTATGGCTACAGGGAATCATTTGCATTTCAGAATTTTCAGTACTGGATTTTGTCATATATAGTTGTTGAAAGCACCATGGTTAGCGGAGGAAAAAATAATCTCTTGTGTTTTCATTGGTTACAAGAAATTTTGCAAAGTCCTGATAACATTGCTGGAAATGTTTTTGTTATCTCTCTCTCTTGTTGTTGCTCTGGAATGATCCTAAACTTTGTTAAGATGTTGGCAAAAATCCATGAAATTAAGAAAGAAATACATCACCTAACAGAAAACAGCTGTTTTAAAGAATTCATTTATTTGTTCTTCTTGATTTTTATTAATTTATTTTATTTTATGTTTTAGCCACATATCACAAGGCATTAACACAATTTCAAATATAGTTGCATGTGGCTGACACTGTCAGTCAGTTGCCTCTTAACAGCACCTGGGAACATTTGAATGTACTTTGTGTTTTCTGTTGTGTAGATCTTGATAACTGGGGGCAAAACAAGCACAGATCACAAGTCGCCCAAATGATTTAGGGATATGGAAAGAGGTGTAATTTCCACTGGAAATGAGGCTCCGTCTTACTTTCACACGTTGAATTTCTTCCAGTAATATTAAAAAGTGTCCACTTATCACGACAGAAGAGAAAAGACATTAGTTCTTAATTTTATTTCCAGGTGTACCATTCAGGAGCTGCAGCAGCAGCAGCAACTGGTAGAAAAAGTGCCCTGCAGAATCCATTTGTCAAGGGTTTAGACTGACACAGTTGAAACCCAGGGCAACATGGTACCCTGTTTTATGCAGTCTGAGAGGCCTTTATAAAGAAAGACCTGCAGGCATTACTCAGTCTTAAAAAAATTATCATCCAATCAAAAACAAACAAGCTAAAAAAAAACAACCCAACTAACTGTATTCTGATTTAGTGCTAAAATTTGTCTATATGTGCTGGAAGTTGACATCAGTGAAATATAACACAGCAAAGCTTTAACTCATAAAGTAGCAGGCCTCTATCCAGGAGACTAATTGTGATCTAAGGTGCAATATGCATGATGACAATGTGGATCATAATTTGTCTAATCTGAAATCAAACCTACATGTTTCAGGCTTTAGGAGTGAAAGACCCTACATGCCAACAATGAGTGAGCAAAAGCATAAAGATTGCAAACTGAGAGAGTGTCGTGGAAATATGTACAACTCTATTCTGTAGGTCATTATGGTGGTTGAGTTCAGAGAGGAAGGAGAGCTTCTTCCTGATCCTAAACTCTTTATATGTTGAGTTGTAAAATGAACAACTGAGGAAAATGTATTCACTGCCTCTCTCTTCCTCACACAGTTTCTCCATCATGTGCCCCCCCTCCAACCTATCCGACATACACCCCGCCCCTGGATTAGGTTCATCTACTTCATTTTCACTATTCTCGTCTCACGGCCAGCCCCTCCTCCGTCCCTGCTGGCCCTTGCAGTACGGCACTTGTCCCCTCATTCTGCATGCTTTTTAGCCCTCTTCCCAATCGTCCTTAATCTTCCTAAATTATTCAAAACACTTTGTCTTCTTCTTGTACCCAAGACATCAAGTAAATTACACGAAAACTGCAAACTAGGGAAAAAAGAATCACATTTGTGATTTTTTTTTCCAGAGAGGCTGAAACCTTCCTTTATCGCCTTCCTTTATTGAACAGTTGACGGGGATTTCTGTAAATGAGCTCGTCATTTAGCCTAAAAGGCTTGAGTGAGGACACTTCCACGTCATTCGTGTTATTTAGCTCATTGCATTACAGACTTAGAATTTGCTGTCGAGACACCCAAATGCATCGAGATGCACATTCAAGATCGCCCGATCTGTCTTTAAGATCACGATGGAAGTAATCAACAAAGTTTTACGAGATCCTGTCAACCATCTCCTCTCTTTTGTTCAGATGTTAGTGTGATATTTAAAGTTATCAAAAGGTTCTGTTTTCCATGTAACTCTCCCTCTTCTATTGTTCAATTTCTTTACAAAGATCTACTTCTCACCAACATTTAGTGTTTGCTTCAGCTTAAAAATGCACACACACTTTCCCAAAACCTGCAAAATGTTAAAAAC